TAGGGAAAGAAAATGGTTGATTTGGTGAGAAGCTGTGGTTATGAAGAGTTTCTTTTGTAGAGAGAGAGAGAGAAGGACATTAAAGAAGGTGTACTGTTACTACCATCGAGTTTCCATTAAAGAAAAGAAGCCTCCGACAAGGATAGTTTGGGTATTACGGTAAATATAAAACCGGTCGGTTAGAAGGTCCCTTCACACCCTTCAACCTCCAAAGGAAAAGAAAAGAAATCACACCAACTTCTGAATTAAACACAGAACCTCTCTCTTCTCTTCTCTTCTCATTCTCTCTTTCTCTTTCTCTTTCACTTTCCTCCCCATATATTCTTCTTCTGAACAACAACCTCCCCACTTTCCAAAACCCAGTTTTGCATCTGGGTTTTGCTTCTTCTACTGTCAAATTCTGAAAAAATTATGACTTGGAAAAGTAGAGGAGAATTCCCTTCCAGAACCGTTATTTCTCAGAAATGGGCACTTTTTCTCTGCTTAGGAAGCTTCTGTACTGGAATGCTCTTCACCACCAGGTTCATCGCTTTTTCCCAATTCCTATTCACTCGTTTCATGTTTTTTTATTTATTCATAAGATGATAACTTCTTATCGGTTTTCAGATTTTGATTCCTCCTGTTTCTGAGTTTTGTGTTTTGAGTCTTCAAATCAGTGTTCTCAGATCTTCGCAACACCTCGTGTTTCCATGATTAATTATTGGTTTTTCACTTTTCACGCGTTGAATTCACTGACTTGCTTATTGTATGGTGCTTTTGCCATATAAGAAGTGGATTTAGATCTGGATTCAATTGCCATCAATGATTTTCTAAAATCTCAATCGTCCCAGTTTTCGGTTTAAGATTTTATCCTTATACTCTTTTCTCTATGATTGACTCTTGTTGACTAGTCAACTATGGCGATGAATCTATCTGAAAATTTAACCGCTATTTTTATAGTGGAAACTGGAAAGAAAAATAAATTACTGTTTACTTTACTTTGCACTATCAGTTTTTTACTATGGTAGTTGTGGTGTTATAGCTGTTGGAATCTTAGAAATGATTCTTCAATTTTTGGATCTGCCTTGTTATTAATTCGGGCAACTTGTTTGTCGGTGCGTTAGATTTTAATAAATGCATGCTTCATTGTGTATCATATTAACCGTTGAATGTATTGCCATGGAGACGGGTAAGGTGGTTATTGTGGTACTTTTTCTCTGATGAAAATATTAATGTATATAACAGGATATGGACTATTCCTGAACACAACAAAGGACTAGCAAGACCAACTGCTGCGGAAGCTGAAAAATTGAATGTACTTTCAGAAGGTTGCAATTCCAGAATTGTAAGCACCGACAATCACGTGGTGGCTGAGGCTTTTCTGATTTTATCATCTAATATTCCTTTTTTTTTTTTAATTATGCGTGTTGGTGCACCCTTTAGTTGCAAGAGATGGAAATGAAGCGGGATAAAGACATTTATAGTGAAGTTTTCAAGAGTCATAATTCCATACAGTGAGTAATATATGCTATTTAGTGCCATGATGATGATACTATTGCCTGTCTTGTTATTATTATTTTTTTTATTTTGCATGCCGAACTTATGGGAGAGTGGTGAATGTAGAACATTGGACAAGACTATTTCGAACCTAGAGATGGAATTGGCTGCTGCAAGGGCAACTCAAGAGTCTCTACGAAGTGGTGGTCCTGTTTCGGATGACATGAGGATGAGTGAATCATCTGGTAAGAGAAAGTACCTTATGGTCATTGGTATTAATACTGCATTTAGCAGCAGGAAAAGAAGGGATTCGGTTAGGGCCACTTGGATGCCACAAGGTTTGTAATTCAATTTCAACCCCATTTCTTAATATTTTCTACTACTGTTTTTATGTTATTTTATGTATTTTACTGGTTACTTTTTATGATGGTTGGTTCTTTTGATAACATGGAAAATAGGTGAGAAAAGAAAGAAGCTAGAGGAAGAGAAGGGCATTATAGTACGTTTTGTAATAGGACACAGGTAGCTATGTCATCTCTTTTGAAATGATTTTGTTTCATAACTGGCAACATTATCATGCTTTTGTCTCAATCCAAGTTCAACTTGCTTTAGTAAAAGATTGCACTTATTAGATCTGCATGTATTCAAGCTATATTTTAGTCTTCCAAATATTAGTTACTGCACACATATGACATTCATCGGTTCATCAATTATAACTAATGAATATGTTAGACGGATTATAAATTTGATCTGGTATTTTCTCCTTTATCTAGTGCTACATCAGGGGGTATTCTAGACAGAGCTATTGAAGCCGAGGACAGAAAGCATGGAGATTTCTTGAGGCTGGTAATTTGATATGATCCTATTTGTTTTTATTGTTGTTTCCCTCCCACATGTTCCCTTTTCACATTTTTTATACTGTTTATTTAATCACTTGATAGTGTAATAGCTTTTAAAAGGAAAGGGGAAAATGTCACAGGTTTTTTACTTCTTTATACTTTGTTGATGCAGAATCATGTGGAAGGGTACCTTGAATTGTCAGCAAAGACAAAAACCTACTTTGCCACTGCTGTGAACTTATGGGATGCTGATTTCTATGTCAAAGTTGATGATGATGTTCATGTAAATATAGGTATTAGAAGTTCTAAAAATTCTGATGATCTCTAACTGTATATACATATTTTAACTGTGCGTAGTAATGGAAGAAAAGGAGACTATACACACATAGTGAAGAGTATCACTTATTTTCCCAAAAGCATAATAATAGAAGAAATGGAGTTGATATTTTCCCTTTATGTTTCCATAGTAAGTATTTATGATATTGTTTTGATGTGTATTTTTTGTCTACGTACCCTATTCTTTCTGTTTCAGCAACACTGGGAGAAACTCTAGTAAGACACCGATCAAAACCACGGATATACATTGGATGCATGAAATCTGGCCCTGTCCTATCTCAAAAGTAAGAAATGTTTCTCATCTATCTTTGTTTACATTGAATTGAATTGTTAAAAAGCTTTTTTGAGTTTTAGCTTCTTACCTGCCTACCTTGTTGCACAGAGGGGTAAGGTACCATGAACCTGAGTACTGGAAATTTGGAGAGGCTGGAAACAAGTACTTCCGTCATGCCACAGGACAATTGTATGCCATTTCAAACGATTTGGCTACATACATATCAATTAACCAGTAAGTCCTACTTCATCTCACTTATCAGAAGAAAAATTAAAAGGATAAATTATAAATTGGAAAAATTACTCCGACACCATACTCTTTTAACGTTTAATGATGTTACACCCAATGTCCTTCTCTTTTATGACATTACATCAACCTCCCGCAATTTATATGGCATCATAAGAAATCAGGGGAATTCTATGACAATAAGAAGTGTCCATGGTGTCATGTTATTATATAAATTGAGATTTGCCTTTAATAGTTACTAGATCAAATCAATGGACTAAATGGCTCTTAAATTGTGCTCTGACCCTGTTTGTTTATGTTTTGTCTCAGGAATGTTCTTCACAAGTATGCCAACGAGGACGTGTCACTAGGATCTTGGTTTATTGGACTTGATGTGGAGCACATAGATGATCGAAGACTTTGTTGTGGCACTCCTCCAGGTGACTATTTTTCCTGAATATATAAATCATATTGACTCATTTAAATGACCTATATAATATGATCATACCATTGTCTGTTTGTTTGTTTGTTTTTTACTAATTAATATTAATAGTTAACATTAGCAAATTATTGAGTTGGTTACTCTTGCAGATTGTGAGTGGAAGGCCCAGGCAGGGAACATTTGTGTTGCATCATTTGATTGGAGCTGCAGTGGAATTTGCAGGTCTGCCGAGAGGATCAAAGAGGTACATAGGAGGTGTGGAGAGGGTGAGAATGCTTTGTGGAGTGCCTCTTTCTAGGAGGCAACATTGGAGTTCTTCCTAACTCAGGAAGATTAATACTAAGGCAAATATGAGTCAAGCCTGCAAGATTTTCTTTTCTTCTCTTCTCTTTTTCTATAGTTTTGTGCAGTATAGAGAAATGTCATTTTCCATGAGAAATCAGGAGTGAGAGAGTGTGAGAGAGAATATGGTTGTTGCCCCATGGACCTTCTGCATTTTAAGAGGAGATTGACCATGGTAGCACAGCTAGTAAGAGGAGACTGTCCACATCCATTCTTTGATGCTTGAAGGGCCACTGAGTTTGTTCATAGTTTCATGGCTATCAAGCTCCTAATAAATAGAGATATAATTGGGTGGCTGTTGCTGCCTTTGCTTCTGCCTGAAGTTCATTTTTTCTGTTTTGGTTGAAAATTAAATGATTCAATGATATATACTTGTTCTACATATACATATCTGTCATGTCCAACAAGCAAGTACACTACTAATTACTTACATTTGATAAGGAGAGAGTCAGATCCAATCTTTTCGATTAAAATAACTTACTAATTACTAATATTTATCGATTAAAACATCACATGAGCTTCAACCTTCAAATAAGGATGGTTATTGGTAAAATTTGTTAAGGTACTATATCTGTCACTATAATTGTATTTACATGAATAGCAAGTAGAATTTATATACATATTTGTATCTTTATAAACTTGTTCTTAAACCTGTTATGGTTTGTGTACCTGTCGAAAGGATACACCAGTAATCTCCTTGTTTTCTGAGGGTCGAACGAGAACTCCGATCGAATATTTCGGTGAGGGGGAAGTACCTGCAAAAGGTACTCCGACGCTCAAGTCAGGACAAAGCACAGATATCGATAGTAATTAATGAACAGTGACGTTACCTCGTGACATGCGCTATTTATACTGACATTTATGGGCCCGGATTCCCATGGGCCCTGCAACAGGATTACCAGATTAGGTAATACGCCTCTAATCGGCTTACTAGTGTGATTAGCTCTTAATCCTTGATTATGGGTTAATCCTTGGCTCTTATTAATAGGAATCTGAGCCTATGGATCATTTAGCGGCCGGACGGCAATTGGCCACCTGGTTCGGCCATTCAGGTGCCGATTGGGTATCGGCCAGCAGGTGGTCGAACGGCCGAACCAGGTGGCCGAATAGGCTTACTAGTACACTTGCCCCCTAGCCTTGTAGAAGGGGTACCTTTTACAAGGGTATAGAAATGAGTTGTCGTTATGTGGGAAGTTGAGAGGTTGGGGCGATCTCCAGCGTTGGATCTTGAAAATCAGGCATTTACATTTTTCGAAATTTTGAATTTTTCCTGCCCTTTTTCGTTTGCTATATATAGCGATGTGTGGTAGGGCCTCTCACGCGTATCATTCTCAGCCGAACAGTATCATTCGAGCGATATCAAAGATCCAGCAGAGCGCGCCGAGTGATCGTTTCACATTCAGATTTTTGGTAAGTTTGATTGAATGGCTACTTCTTCCGAGAGCTCTTCCGCTAGTGTGGCTCGGTCATCATCATCCGAGGGGTCGTCGTCTAGGGCTTCGAGGCCGGTGCAAAGGGAAATACCATCGCCGAACGGGGACAAGTCTAGCGAAAATGTGAGTACATCCGAAGAGGCTTCAACTAGCGGGAGTGAAGAGATGCCGACCGGAGCGAAACGTGTCTCGAATCGGCAAAGATATGGGCCATCCGAATTACCGGGGTACGAATGGGTAAACGGAGAAGTGACTTCATATTATTCCCGGTACCGAGATACTACCATGATCACAAATTTGTTGGAGTACACTAAATGTCTGAACTTCAACGCTAAAGAGGAGCCGTATCCGATCGGAATTCGTGCATGCCAAAACAACGCCTTTCCCAATCCGGACTGGTATGCTTGGACAAGCAGGCCGAAAAGATGGCATCGTTCTACATGTACGACTGCCTTTTACGAGACCTAAAGGTGAAATTACCGTTTGATGAGTTCACCATGGGGGTGCTTAAGGTTTTGAATGTGGCGCCGACCTAGCTACACCCGAACAGCTGGGCTCAACTTCAAGGTTTCAAGCACCTGTGCCGATGTGTGAATATTAAGCCTTCACCTTTACTTTTTCTCTATTTTTACTCGTCCCGTCCTTCAGATTTGGCCAAGTGGTTGTCTCTTAGCCGAGTGGGCGGTAGCTCTTAGATAGTTTCACTTCGTCTTACAAGAATTTTAAAGCTGGATTTTTTCGAGTGACTATCCGTCCGAACGGGAGGCGTTTCTTCTTTGGGGCCAATGACCGGAGCTTCTTTCCGTTGTACTGGACACGTGCCCCTCGGCTATATGATGTAGTGCCGGATGAGCTTCTCACAGTCGAAGAGCAACGGGATTTGCAATTTTTACTTCAACTTCCTCGGCGCTTGCCGACAAAGTCATTAATAAACGTGGTTGAATCTTCCCAATGGGAGAACGACTTGATAGGTACGTGATTTTCCATTTCGGCCTTTGGCTAAATTCATATTGATGTTCACTTGATTATTTGTGCAGGAATCATGGTGACAAGTGGTGCCGATGAGTTCAACATCCGCAACCTTTTGGCTGGCCGGATGCAGCAGGCTAAGGCTTCGGGGGCCGTGGGCAGCTCGACAATTGCTCAAACGCCTCGTCCAATACAGGATGACCGAACCCCTCCCACTCCAGATCGGAAGCGCCGAAAGGTGAAGAAGGGGAAAGAGGTTGCTCATGAGGGGCCGAAACGAAAAGGTAACGAGGAGAGGCCGGAGAAACCCAAGAAGTCCAAACACTCCGCGTCTTCCCCGGGCGGGACAATTATATGTGTGCCCCCTATGATAATGTCTAGGGCCTTTCTGAGTGAAGAGGTCACCGTCGAGTCACTAGTTCGGCCAAACGCCATTTCTGAACATGGACGTGAATTCCTAGGCCAGTTCGATGTTGTGGCCAAATGGAAGTATTTCTGCGAGGTGCAATCTCGGTCACTAGCACTCGCGCACCACCTCGCCATGGAGCCTATCGGCGAGCTGGTGTAATTAAGGCAAAGGGTTGAGGATGCCGATAAGGCAACAACCGAGGCTGTGCGGTTGCCGAGAAAGCTTTAGCGAGAAATCGGCAACTTGCGGCCGAGCTAGATGTTCAGCGGCGCAACAACGATACTCTTCGGCTGGACATGCAAAAAGCCGCAAACGAAGAAAAGCGCCGAACGGATGAAGCCAAGGCGGAACTGGAGCGAGTGAAAGAGCAAGCCAAGGATCGTATCATTGCCCAGCATGAAGCTGGGTTTCGCCATGCCCTTCGGCAAGCGCAGCACTTCGGCCGTTTCAGAGAGGGCTTTGAGTTTGACATGTCAAAAGATTTCTAACAAGGATCTTTCATGTCTTTCCAAGATATTGTCGAGGGGGCCGTCCCTGACAGTAATGCGTCGAATGATGACCTCGAAGACGAGGAGATTCATGACGCCTCGGATGGTGAGGTTGAAACCCAACAGGAAGAGCCGAACCAAGACCAAGAGGGCGAGCCCGAGGTGCAAGGAGACGCTGGCAATAACACCGAAGAGTAATCGTTGTTGGAGACTTGGTACTTTTTTGTATGACAGGCTGATAGAGCCTTTTTACTTTGAGTGCATTGTTGCTGTAAAAGCCCTTTATTTTGAATGTACTATTGGCCGATAGCGCCTTTTGACATTTATTAATGAAAAGCACTGGTTATTGAAGAAACTTGGCATTGGACCATGATTCGCACCCTTTTTTTTTTTGATTGTTTTTGAATCACAACCGAACGGGTTCCTTCATATGTGATTGTACTTGAGTCAAGGCCGAATGGGTTCGTTCGGATTTGATTACTTTTTGAATCAAAGCCGAACGAGTGCATTCGGAATTGATTGTATTTGAATCAAAACCGAACGGGTTCCTTCGGAATTAATTGTATTTGAATCAACCGAACGGGTTCCTTCGAAACTGATTGTATTTGAAGCCAGGGCCGAATGGGTTTGTTCGGATTTGATTGCCTTTTGAATCAAAATCGAACGAGTGCATTCGGAAATGATTGTATTTGGATCAAGGCCGAATGGGTTTGTTCAGATTTGATTGCCTTTTGAATCAAAGCCGAACGAGTGCATTCGGAATTGATTGTATTTGAATCAAAACCGAACGAGTGCATTCAGGATTGATTGTATTTGAAGCCAGGGCCAAATGGGTTTGTTCGGATTTGATTGCCTTTTGAATCAAAGCCGAACGAGTGCATTCGGAAATGATTGTATTTGGATCAAGGCCAAATTGGTTTGTTCGGATTTGATTGCCTTTTGAATCAAAGCCGAACGAGTGCATTCAGAATTGATTGTATTTGAATCAAGGCCGAATGGGTTTGTTCGATTTGATTGCCTTTTGAATCAAAGCCGAACGAGTGCATTCGGAATTGATTGTTTTTGAATCAAAACCGAACGGATTCTTTCGGAATTGATTGTATTTGAATCAAAGCCGAACGGGTTCGTTCCGAACGGGTTCGTTCGGAATTTGAATCAAAACCGAACGAGTGCATTCGGAATTGATTGTTTACTGGGACTTTAACTGCTTTTGGAGCACATCCTTGGCCGAGTGGGGTCACTCGGGAGGGAAACCTTTTTGTGCGAATTTCGAAGGTACGTCCTTGGCCGAGTGGGGTCACTCGGGAGGGAATCTTTTTTGTGCGAATTTCGAAGGTATGTCCTTGGCCGAGTGGGGTCACTCGGGAGGGAATCTTTTTTGTGCGAATTTCGAAGGTATGTCCTTGGCCGAGTGGAGTCACTCGGGAGGGAAACCTTTTTGTACAAACTCTGAAGGTACGTCCTTGGCCGAGTGGGGTCACTCGGGAGGGAAACCTTTTTGTACGAATTCGGAAGGTACGTCCTTGGCCGAGTGGGGTCACTCGGGAGGGAAATCTTTTTGTGCGAATTCCGAAGGTACATCCTTGGCCGAGTGGGGTCACTCGGGAGGGAAACCTTTTTGTACAAACTCCGAAGGTACGTCCTTGGCCGAGTGAGGTCACTCGGGAGGGAAACCTTTTTGTAAATATATTTGACTAAAAGCAGGAGTATAAAGAATGGAATTGCATTTCATTAATGGGTGCCTCGTTAAAAACTTTGTCGGCCAAAACCCCTTTTCACTTTTTTTATAGGGGAAAAAAGACCGATTCAAGGAAAAGAGTGCACCTTGCATGTACATTGATGATTTCTTTGTCTTTACAGAAGTTTCTAGCTAAAATATGTCTTTAAGTGAGTCGAGTTCCACGTTCGAGGAATGACGTTGCCTGAGAGTTCTTCAAGCTTGTAAGCGTCGTTCTGAAGGTTGTGTCGGATTCTAAATTGTCCATCCCAGTTGGCCGCCAACTTGCCTTCCCGAGGGTTGCGTCTTGCCGACCCTTGTACCAGCCACACAAGGTCTCCTTCATGAAACTCCCTCTTCGCGAGTGTTGAGTTGAATCGCCTAGCCATGCGCTGCTTGCAGGCTTCGACCATGATCTGCGCTTTGGTACGAATTTCATCGACCATGTCTATTTCGGCTCGGAGGGATGCCTCATTGTTGTTCTCATCTAAGTGTTGTTGCCGAAAAGATGGTTCCCCGACTTCAACGGGGATCATGGCATCAATACCATATGTTAACCGAAAGGGGGTTTCCTTTGTTGTGGACTGAGGGGTGCACCGATAAGCCCATAGGACCTCCGTTAGTTCTTCGGCCCAAGCTCCTTTAACATCTCCCAATCTCTTTTTTAACTCTGTGAGGATCACTTTATTGGCCGCTTCGGCTTGACCATTTGATTGTGGATGTTCAACTAATGTGAACCAGTGCTTGATGCCGAGGTCTTGGATGAATCGGTTATGTTTCTGATCGGTGAACTGGAGACCGTTGTCAGTTACAAGGGCATAAGGAATTCCAAAGCGAGTGATAATGTTTTTCCACAAGAACTTCTGAACATTGGCTGCTGTGATGTTGGCCAGCGGTTCGGCCTCGACCCATTTTGTGAAATAATCAACTGCGACCAATAAAAACTTGCATTGACCTTTAGCTATCGGGAATGGTCCTAGGATATCCATTCCCCACATTGCGAACGGCCACGACGAGCTAATGCTATGTAGTTCTTCGGCCGAGGCATGAATAAGGTTTCCATGTCTTTGGCATGAAAGACAATGCTTGACGAATTGCATGCAATCGCTTTTGAGAGTTGGCCAATAAAAGCCTGCTCTAAGCACCTTCATAGCTAACGTCCTCCCTCCCGAGTGAGATCCGCATATACCCTGATGAACTTCTCTTAGAACATAGTCCTCTTGTGCAGAATCAATGCATTTCAAGAGAGGTACCGAGAAACCCCTGCGGTATAGTTGTCCACCAATGACCGAATACCTGGCTGCTTGTGTTCAGAGTTTTTTGGCGGCCGAAGGATCAGATGGCTCTTTTCCAAATTCAAGGTAATCCATTATTTCGGTGATCCAAGTTTGGGTAGGCTTTTCGGTCGTCAAACATTCAATCGGTGTTATGCTTGGAGTGGCGAGGTCAAGGTGGAGTGTAGTTCTTAGTTGTCCCAGTTTTCGGCTGCTGCTAGCCAACTGAGCTAGTTGATCGGCTCTTTCGTTGTGTTCCCTCGGCATATGTTTTACTTGTACCTCATCGAAGGTGTCATGCATCCTCCGAAACAAGTGATAATATTTCAGCAGGTTGGGGTCTTTTACCTGAAAATTGTCGTTGACTTGTTCCGATACAACTTTCGAGTCAGTCCAGCATACCACTCGCCGAGCTCCGATTTCTTGCGCAAGTCTCAAACCGGCCAGCAATGCCTCGTACTCGGCCTGGTTATTTGAGGTTTTGAATGCAAATCGTAAAGATTGCTCGAGTATTAGCCCAGTTGGTGCTTGCAGGATTATTCCTGCTCCACTGCCTTGGTTGTTCGAAGAACCATCAACATGCATCGTCCATAAGTCACTGACGAAATCTCCTTGTGGCTGCAACTCATTGACAAAATCTGCTAGGTATTGTGCTTTAATCGGTCTCTGTGGTTCAAATGACAAGTCAAGCTCTGAAAGTTCGATTGTCCATGCCATCATGCGTCCGGCTAGTTCAGGTTTGCGCAAAACCTTGGCGATAGGGCAATCGGTACGAACTATTACGCGGTTGCTCTGAAAATATTGTTGAAGGCGCCAGGCCGTGTGTACTAGCCCGAGCGCTACTTTTTCAAGAAGTTGATACCTTGTTTCGGCATCTTGGAGCATCCTACTGATGAAGTACACAGGCTGCTGTACTTCCTTTTCTTGCACTAACACAACACTGATTGCTTCGTCCGACACACACAAATATATAACTATGTTTGCCCGGGGATCGGGTTTTGAGAGGATTGGAGGAGAGCTGAGGCGTTGCTTTAACGTCTGAAACGCTTCTTCACAATTAGTCGACCATTCGAACTTCTTCACTTTTTTTAGCAGCCTAATGATAGGCTTTGCCGTTTCAGCTAGGCATGGCAGGAATCTTGACAAGGACGTGAGCCGTCCGGCTAACCGTTGCACCTCTTTAAGGTTTTGGGGGCTTCTCATACCGACGATTGCTTGCCATTTGTCAGGATTGGCCTCAATGCCTCTAGCCGATAGCATGAAGCCGAGAAACTTACCCCCGGAAACGCCGAATACACACTTTTCTGAATTCAATCGCATGTCATGTCTACGAAGTTGTTGAAATACTTCTGCAAGGTCAGATAGGTGCCGATCAAGGTCTTCGGATTTGACGACCATGTCATCTACATATACTTTCATATTTTTCCCAATCTGGTTCTGAAACACCTTATTCATCAACCTTTGATATGTGGCTCCAGCGTTCTTCAATCCGAAAGGCATCACCTGATAGCAAAAATTGGCCGAATCGGTGATAAAAGCTGTTTTTTCCTCATCGCCGGGGTGCATGCGTATTTGATTGTATCTGGAATACGCGTCAAGAAAAGTGAGGAATTTATGCCCTGATGCTCCGTCAACTAACCGGTCAATATTTGGTAATGGATAAGCATCCTTGGGGCATGCTTTGTTGAGATTAGTGTAGTCGGTACACATTCTCCATTTACCGTTCGGCTTCCTTACCATGACCACATTTGTCAGCCATGTCGTATACTGTACTTCCCGAGTGAATCTTGCCTCAATCAACTTGGCTACTTCGGCTTCGACTGCTAGTTTCCTATCGGTCCCCATCTTTCGCTTGCGCTGAGCTATAGGTGCGTTGGCGCAAATAGAGAGCTTGTGGCACATGAAATGTGGGTCGATGCCAGGCATATCTGAAGGTACCCATGCAAAGAGATCTTGGTTCCGAATGATTACCTTGCTTAAAGCGAAATGGTCTTTTTTGGGAGTGCTGGCGCCGATGTAAGTCACCTGAGATGGTGACGAGCCTATTTGCAAAGAGATCTTGGTTTCAATTGGCTCTACATGCTATTCTTCATTAATCCTAGGGTCAAGATCCAAGGCCTGGGTTTCCTCATATGCCGAAGGGTTTCTAGCCGAAGGGTTTACTGCATGAACTCTTTTTGATTTTGTTTGTTTCTCTTCCATGGGAGTTATTCGCAAGTTGGCATAGTAGCATTCCCGCGCTGCTTTTTGATCAACATGAATAGTAAGGATGTTTCCTTTTTCGGATGGAAACTTCATTGCCAAATGTGGCGTTGAGACGATTGCCCCCAACATGTTTAATGATGGTCGACCGAGCAAAATATGGTATGATGTGCTAGCATGCACCACTATGTACTTCACATGAATTTCTCTGTATTCTTGTTCATCAAAGCAAAAGCGGGTAAAGAGTTTAATGTATCCCTTAGTGCTTACTCTTTCTCCAGAGAAACCGACCAGGGGATCATCATATAGTATGAGCTCCTTCTCCGAGATGCCCAATTGCTTGAAGGTGTTCCAGTACAGAATGTCTGCCGAACTACCCTGATCGACCAATGTTTTCTTAACTATGCAGTTATGAATCTCGACACTGATCACCATTGGGTCGTCCTGTACAGGATCAATGCCCCGAAAGTCGGCATCAGTGAAAGTGATTGCCAGTAGCCTCCGAGCCGGCTGTCTGTCAACCACATGGACCGACCGAACGGCACGCAAATGTCGCTTTTGGGCTGAGGAGGTTGGACCCCCTTCGGCAAATCCTCTTGCAATTGTGTTGATGACTCGCCTATGTGATCATGTAGGCTCGTCCTTTCTTTCACGTGACCTGCTACGTTCACGCCAGGGCCTCTCGGCATGATCTTGCCTATGCCGATCGTTGTGTCGAGGTTGAAATGAGGGGCGCGGCCGAGACGAGTCTGGCCGATCAACAAAACTACGAAGCTGCCCCTGCTTAATTAAATCCTCAATTTTGTCCTTCAGAGTCGCGCACTCTTCGGTAGAGTGTCCTCGATTGTGGTGATACCTGCAAGACTTGTTGGTATCGGCCCGCGATGGGGTGGATGATCTTTTTGGAACGGCCAACACTTCAGAGGCGAGAGCTTGCTCAAGTATTGTTGCCCGACTTGCATTCAAGGGCGTGTACTGCGAGTATTTTGGTCCTCGTGTAGGTCTTTCTCGAAGTGTTATTTCTTTGTTGCGACCCCGAAATGATGGCTCTCCAGGCTTTTCAATTTTATTCATGGTTTCGGCTCGGGCTTGATTCCGAAACTCAGCCAACTCCTCCATTTGCATATATTTGTCAGCTCTCCTGCATAGGTCATTCATATCTGAAGGGGGTTTCTTGCAAAGGCTATTGACGAATGGCCCTGGTTTCAAAGCTGTTGTCAGATGATGAAGTGCTACGACCGGGTTAAGATCTCGAATTTCCAAGGTTGCCTTGTTGAACCGATCCATGAAAGCTCGAAGCGTCTCCTTCTTATCTTGCCGAAGACTAACCAGCGATAAAGATGTCAAGCTGTGGGGACGGCTCGTTGCAAACTGAACTGTGAATTGAGACGACAAGGTATTGAATGAGTCGATCGAATTAGGGGGTAGCCGAGTGAACCAGCTCAAAGCCCTACCCTTGAGAGATGTAGGGAAAATGCGACACAAGGCAGCATCGTCCGTAGTGCTCAAGGTTACCTGCGTAAGAAAAACATCAAGATGTTCATCAGGGTCAGTGGTACCATCATACTTATCAATAGGTAAAGATTTCCAATTGTCCATCAAAGGGAGCTGCATGATGGAGGGGGTAAATGGGTGTCGGTGCGACTCGATAGTTGCCAAATCTGTGGGTCGGCCGACTGTGGGTAGGGCCGAAGGGAAATTTTTAGGTGCCACAGCCGAGGCATGAGGGGTCGAGGTGTGAATTGCCTGGGATTGATACGACCCTTGGGTTTGTGTATTTGTGGCCTGAGTAGGTTTCCACGATGGATCCTAATTTTTTAATGCCTCATTTTTGGCTCTCAAGGCCAAAAGCTCCCTCGCATCCTTTTCTCGCTGCTGCTTCATTGCCTCCATCTCTTGTTTCAGCAGACGAATAGTCTCAGAAAGATCAGTTTCATCTACCACTTCCACATGTTCTTCCTCTTCAGTCTGATGATCTTCCATGTTCGTTCTCCTAGTTATCGCCATTGCTTCGCTCAGTTGATCTTTAAAATCGTCTCAGTTCGGCCCCACGGTGGGCACTAAAATGTACCTGTCGAAAGGATACACCAGTAATCTCCTTGTTTTCTGAGGGCCGAACGAGAACTCCGATCGAATATTCCGGTGAGGGGGAGGTACCTGCAAAAGGCACTCCGACGCTCAAGTCAGGACAAAGCACAGATATCGATAGTAATTAATGAACAGTGACGTTACCTCGTGACATGCGCTATTTATACTGACATTTATGGGCCCGAATTCCCATGGGCCCTGCAACAGGATTACTAGATTAGGTAATACGCCTCTAATCGACTTACTAGTGTGATTAGCTCTTAATCCTTGATTATGGGTTAATCCTTGGCTCTTATTAATAGGAATCTGAGCCTATGGATCATTTAGCGGCCGAACGGCAATCGACTACCTGGTTCGGCTATTCAGGTGCCGATTAGGTATCGACCAGCAGGTGGCCGAACGGCCGAACCAGGTGGCCGAACGGCCGAACCAGGTGGCCGAATAGGCTTACTAGTACAGTTTGGTTAACTTAAATATGGTCACTTGTAATGTATTTATTTAACAAATTAGCAAAAAATAAATATTATTACAATACTAATTAATTATGATATATCAATAGTAAATAATTTAATAAAAATATAACATATAACATGATTGAAAAATATTTTAAAAATTTAAACTTTAATAATAAAATATAATAAATATATCATAAAGTATGAATAAAGAAAGATTTTATACTATTTTATATTTAAAATTTTGTTAATAATACCATTATATTTGATTTTTTGTTTTGATCTATTGAAATTAAAATTATGACAGCATGATTCAAACCTAAGATCATGTGTATATTATTTTAACTATACCACTAGACTGACCACAGTGATTTAATATATTTTTAATCTAAATTCCATTTAAATTAAAATTATGATATCATGATTCAAATCTAAAATTTTGTACATACTATCTCAATTTTACCATTAGTTTGATTATAGTGGTTTAATGTATTTTTAAATCTAGATTATTTGATGAACAAAAAATTCATTTTTGTGAGTTTTTTTTTATTTTATAAATATCCATAGAATCTAAATTTAATTATCATTCCTACCTTTAAAACTACATTGAACCTTTTTTTTATTGACTGATACTTTGTTTATTTTTAATTGTCAATGTTTTTAGAAGATTTTTATTTTTATTTATTTATCATTTTCAAAGTTCAAAAATAACATTTATACTTTATTTCTTAATTTTTAATTAATTTACACATTTACAATCAGTAAACTCTCATTCAAAAATTAAAATAGTTAATCTCATTTATAGAAAGAGAATATATATATATTTGAAATATATATGAATAAAAATATTTAATTATATTTTATTTATAATACAATTGAATATTATGACTTGATAATTACATCGATAAAAAAGCAGTCTATTCAAAGTTATCCATACAAATAAAAACCAATTCTTAAAATACCTTAAAAAGTATTGATACAGTCGCCAAAATTTTGTCCAAAAATTAAAATAATAATATTTTTTTAATAAATTTATTATAAAATAATTATTTTATAATAGATTTATTAAAAAATATTATTATTTTAATTATTCGGACGAAATTTTGGATAAAGGATTCGGAAGTTAAATCATTACTCACCTTAAATCACTGTAATGTAGGGAGATGAAAAGAGTTTAATTTTGTAGTGCTTAATATGCTCTATCTTCAGTCCAAAAAAATGCTCTGTCTAATACACTATTATTTTTTACGTAGTAATTTATGATCGGATAAATATGTAAAAAAGTACTATGAATATATTTCAGTTAGAAAAAGTGTAAACAATATACTTTGTAGTCTTTGATATTTGTTTCTAATATATATTTTTATTAGTTTATATAAATTTATGTGAATTTTACTAATTTAAGAAAGAGCTTTGTATATTTAGTTAGACTTCATAAAAGATACTGAATAGGAAAGGGTGTTGTAAGCTTAATGTTGTCGGTCCATGATTTGTCATGGATTTGTTTGGATGTAAATGGATTTACGTGGTTTAATAAAATTTGCTCTATTTGATAAATGTGATTTTAAGTTGATTTCAGAGGAATATTTTTTTTTTTTGGTTCGTCCCTGGAGTATTCACCGTCGACAGCAGTGACTAATCTCCTCGCTACGTTGGAGGTACCTCAAAGGGTGAGATAGTTGGCCCCAAAATTTAACGCGGCTGCATACACAAGGCAGGATTCGAACCCCTGACCTTACTTTCAGAGGAATATTTATGGGTACAGTGAAATCAATTACTCTTTAAAAAAGGGTGATTTGTATGAAATCGTATCTTAATTTGTTTACATTTACAAAATTGACCTTTACTCTTTTGTTTGTATTTGAGTAATAAGCTCCAAAAAGATATCTTGTAAAGTTTGAAGCATTTGTACATCTTCATGTCCAACTTTCCTTCTTCATCTTTCACTTCCGCATTTGACGAAAATTTTTAAATAAGTTTGTTTTTGTAGAAAAATATTTTTAAATATTTAAAATTTTAACTATAAAATATAATTATATAGATTTTTTTTAAAAAAATTAACTATATAAAATATAATTTTAAAATATCAATCTCCCTCTATTTTTCATATTCTAACAAATAACTACAAATTCCACTCTAATTCTTATCAACCCAAACAAAGTGAAAATGTGCTTTTGTTCATTAGATTAACAGCTACGTGATTTTAGTTTTTTAAATTTTAATTGAGTAATTTTAATTTTTTAAATATTATAATTATATAATTTTAGTTTTTTAATTTTTAATTGAATAATTTTAATATAATTATATAATTATGATATTTGAGAAATTAAAATTATTCAATTACGATACTTAAAAAATTAAAATTATATAATTATGATAATTGAAAAATTAAAATTACTTAATTCAAAATTAGGAAGTCAAAATTGAAAAATTATAATGCTAAAAGTATAAAAACGCAATGAAGCAAAAATGTATTACTAAAATTTTCAATCAAATTAAAAAATCAAGTAAATTAATTGCGTAATCTTTTGAAATCCTCCGCTAATACCTAACATGTTTTGGAACTTATATAGAAAGAGAATTTGGCAAGCTGTTTTGTCTAGATAATTTTTTTATTATTGAAATACAAAAGAAAGGTTAAGTCAAGTCAATTAAATCCGCACCATTGATTATCTGAATGTAGAAAATTGCAAACCTAATTATCTGAATGTAGCTGAAAATTGCAAACCTAATTATTTGACCACTACGTGATTTAGGGTTGGCGTAACCTAAATTGAGGTGCAAGGTTAATTATAAAAAAGATTTAATCATCCATACATTATTAGTGTAAATTTTTTTTACATCAGTAACTAATCATATCTTTTAAATTATTTTATTTTTTATATATTTTATTAAATGAACAACTGACATGTCACTGTTAAAAGATATGATTGACTGTCAGTATAAAAAAAATTTACACTGAAAGTGTATAGGTGATTAATCTATAAAAAAGGGTTGTCAACGGTGAGAAAACTGAAAAGATCAAAATGAACAAATAACTAGTTTAGGCTAAATAATGTTTGTGAAAAAACATTCTATCCAACGGCGCAAAAGTTTAATGGATATTGAAAGTGAAACTGGCTTTTACTATCTTATTGTTTTCTGGATTTTTGCTATTCAGACCCATTATTTACTAAGTACACCTTCATTTATTTATTTTTTTTATTTTTTATTTATTTTAAATTTTATTTTAAAAAATACATTTTTTAAAATATCTTTTCATCCCCCCCCCTTTTTTTAATAGTTTTTCTCTTGCGAGTTTAATAGTTATTTCGTCTTTTTCATAAATATTTTCATTTGGATAACCCTTTTTCTTATATTTTTTTTTAAAAGATTCATTTTCAATGACTGTGTTTTCTTCTCTGCTTTAACATATAAATAAGAACTTTAAAATAAAGTTGTGATGAGATGAATTAAATAATACCAAAAATTTAAGAATAACATATATCAGTTTCAGAAAGTAATTTTCAAAATCCAATAGGAAATTCAACAAAATCTAACATAGTAACGCATACGTTTTTCAAATGAAATTCAAGGAAATCACACACCACACATGTTGATTGAGAGGACAACGAAAGTAGATAAAAGTTTGATGCAAGGTATATATGTTGTTGTTCACAAAACAATGGGAGTAACACCTAACATTGGTAATTTTTTTATATTGTTTATAAAAACCTTACAATGTCAAATATCTTGAAACAAAACATAAAATATGTACACATTAAATGTACCTTGTAAGGTAGTACGATGTAGAAGAAAACCTACATTATCATGTAAGTTTTTTGAAAAAACACATCCATAAATTTTATAAAAATTATAGTATTACGTAATTAAGATGTAAAGAATAATGAATATTGAGGGTAAAAATGAATGTTTAAAATTAGGATTTAAGAATAAAAAATATGGGAGTGTAAAAATAGGACTTAAATTTTAATGCATAATAAGCATGGAGTGAAAAATAAAACCTATAAGTGTATTTAGAAATAAAAAATACAACAACCCAAAAAAAAGGTGTACTTAGAAAAATGTGGGGGTATAAATTGAAAAATTCTCGTTTTCGCATGCACTTCAACCCGTAACTATGCCAATAAACATTCTGCTGAATCAAAATTAATAGATTCTTTCTTGTTTTGGACCAACATGAGAATCAGGGTTAGTCGTTTCATAAGTCCATACTAAATTCAACAACTTTATTTTAATTCGCTTGAATATTTTCTTTGTACTAAACTTGAATCAAATTAATATGTTGATATTATTAATTAGATTTATTTTATGTGAAATATGTCCTGATTGGAGGTTAAATTTAATAACAAGATGTAATAATGAGATTATTTTTGAATGCTAAGTATATTGATTAAAAAATTAAAAATTAAAAATCATAATTTAACATTGCTAAAATATTTTTTTACTGTAGTTTCTAATAAAAAC